AGCCGAAATTTTAACGCAAATGTTCAAAAAAGACGAAAAATTGAAAATTGTCGCAGAGAGGGTGTATAAGACACTTTTCCAGACGATTTCGACCTGAAAAGGCGAATGGAGTACACCCCAAGTCCGTACGACCCCTCATTTTGGCCCAAAAAGCCGATTTTTTTGAATTTTTTAAAAGGCTTAATTCTTACGGGAGACGTTTTCGCCGATGTACCCCGTGTTGGGTGTCGTTTTCGCAAATAAGGTATGTCAGAGGCTTAATATGAGGTCCTCGAAGCACTTTTATTAACCAAGGACATTTTAGACCATGATACGCCGTGGTCCAAAATTGTTCAAAATGTTCAAATTTGTTAAAACGGCCTACAGAGTCCATCTTTAGTAATTTTCCGAGTAATTTTAGTATGAGAAAGGCGATGAACCATACTGCAAGTGCGTACACCATACCAATCAGGCCCCAGAAGACGCCATCTTGGAAAATAGCGGCCTAACTAACTCTCGTAGCACCGTCGCTGGCACCACGACCTCCGACCAGGCGGGAGGAGTAGTGCACAGTGGGTGGATACACCTCGCACTTGAAACTTATGAACCTTTTTAATTATAGCTTCCCTTACTGAGTTCTGTAAACATGCTTCGTTTACGTATTTTTAAATACGCCAGTATAAACAAATTTCTTCATAGCAGCGTATTCAACAATGCCCAAGCCGAGCTTGTATACAGACAGACCTAGTAAGTTACGAATGGGTATTTTTTTTTTTTTAAATCAGCAACTCTGATGTTGGGAACGTATTTAGTACTTTCTCACTCTCCGTCTGCGACTTTTATCTACACTCTAGGGTAATTAATCGTTTAAAAAGTTGGTTGACTTTTAATGGTGTAGGACGTTAAGAGGCGATGAAACCCGGAGGGAACTCACATCGACAAGAGGATGCGTAGGGGTGGTTCTCTAGGAGCTTTTACAACAATTCTGGCTGTTTTTACCTTGTCGAACTTTTCACCCCTATAACCCGAAATCTTCCGAAAAATTTCAATTTGTTTCAACCTTGAGCGCGCCAGAGGATGCTGGCGGCAACGTGGGTAGGTGGCAAACTTCACCTTACAGGATCGTCAAGAACACACTTTAGAGCTCTCTGCCCCAAACTTCACCTTTCTAGCTCAGCTAGTTACATACATCTACTGCACTCTCACACGCCTTTTCTACCTTAAGGTTTTTACGCAGCAGGAATACTGGCTAATTTGTTACGTATTCTGTATATTGTTTCGAGGAACTCACTGATAAAAGAAAAAGATTGTCAGTAATGTAAAAAGAAATTATTTTGTATCACTGCTGAAAACAGTTTGTCAGTAGATATAAAGGTTTTCACGCAAAGAATACTATGAAGGGGGTAGATCAGTTACAGGATGAGAGTGTGGTCATCTGACATATGTCAGATCACCAGAGTCTCCCTGATTAAACAAAAAATATTACAGACCGCTTATTTTTGCGGAATACTTGCACTCCTTCTCATTATTTTTTTACCTTTTGTCAGTATTACTGTTGCTTAAAAACCTGTATAAGGTACTGAATTTTTGTCAGCATTACAAAATAAGTCCTTTTTGCATGAATGACAATTTCTTTCGTCAGAAAGTTGCTGACCAAAATAAGCTGAATAAGTAACATTGTAGTCAGTAGTCCCACTGCGTCAAAACATAGATGTTTAATAAGAAGTAAATCAGCACATGTCTGAGAGTGTTTATTACCTATATTTGGCTGCTTCCAGAACTAAGAAGGGTAAGCTACAATTTAAAAGGTTCATAAGTTTCAAGTGCGAGGTGTATCCACCCACTGTGCACTACTTCTCCCGCCTGGTCGGAGGTCGTGGTGCCAGCGACGGTGCTACGAGAGTTAGTTAGGCCGCTATTTTCCAAGATGGCGTCTTCTGGGGCCTGATTGGTATGATGTACGCACTTGCAGTATGGTTCATCGCCTTTCTCATACTAAAATTACTCGGAAAATTACTAAAGATGGACTCTGTAGGCCGTTTTAACAAATTTGAACATTTTGAACAATTTTGGACCACGGCGTATCATGGTCTAAAATGTCCTTGGTTGATAAAAGTGCTTCGAGGACCTCATATTAAGCCTCTGACATACCTTATTTGCGAAAACGACACCCAACACGAGGTACACCGGCAAAAACGTCTCCCGTAAGAATTAAGCCTTTTAAAAAAATCAAAAAAATCGGCTTTTTGGGCCAAAATGAGGGGTCGTACGGACTTGGGGTGTACTCCATTCGCCTTTTCAGGTCGAAATCGTCTGGAAAAGTGTCTTAT